GTTCTCGACGGGTCTTGAAGCCTTCCGAGTCTTGGAGAAACGCGTGAGAGCTCCGTGGCTGCTCCGCTCGGGTTGCGCTTGTGAACTCCGGGTAAAAACGGGCGCAGCGCGGTGTAACCTGTCGGCTGTGACAAGTGGCCTCCATTATCTGGATGTGGTAGCGGGGAGCTGCAGAGCGGGCAGGCCCGCAGCAGCGTTTTTTAATTTCTTTGTGACGGTATTTTCTGCACCTTCATGTTTAATAAGACCTTCTTGTGGTGCAGAGCTGTAGAAAGATACACTCTTAGGACTTAATTTTTGGAGAACGTGTGCAAAGTAATCCTGGTTCGGTGATCTCAAAGGTAAAACGATACGTGACTGTGATAACGTGGTTTATTTAAGTCCTCTATTTCTTTTAAAAAAGGGAAGCAAAACCAGACCAAGCATTGGGTAACTTTTATTCCCTTTTTCTTCAGAGCACGCTGGAATTTTCCTTTTCTATGTGAAGCACAGTCATGACAGACCCAGAGTATGTTCTTTGCCTGTGGAAGAAGCGTTTATGGCCAGCAAAGGTAAAGCAGATGTACAGATGAGGAAAGGTTTGTGGGTGTAACTTAGGAATGGCTGGAACAGAGTAGTAAGAGCTCCCAGGAAACGTGTACGTGCTTGAAAAAAGCGCTAATCTCTAAAGCCCCTGATGCCGTGGAATGTCGGTCCGTCCTGTGCTGCTCGCGTTGAAAATGGCTGGGTGTCAGATCTGTCCTCTAGTCGGACAGACTTGGTCAGGGATTTTAAACGTGTGTTTTTCTCTTGAATGTAGGTTTTGTGCAAAACTGGAGTCGCTGGGGAAACGTCTGCTACTGACGCGAAGGGAACTTCGTTTGGAGTTGAAATACTTGGCTTGAAAGAGCAGTTAAGTGTCCTTGTTACTGGCGTGTGTTTGTGCTCTTGGTCACTAAAAAAAAAAAAGTAATCCCTTTATGGGAAGGTACCTGTGAAATGAAATCACTGATTTACAGCAGGCTGGGCCGGCTGACCCGAAACCCGTCGCCTTTTCAGAGCTGGCCCTGCAGTTGTCTCGTGGAACGGCCGTAAACAACGTCCTGGCTGTTGCCTCGGGCATCCTTTGTGTCGTGGGGTTTTTTCCTTAACTGCTGCTAACAAATATGGGTTTGGGGGAAGAAAGACTGCGAGTCTATTGCCAGGTGGAAGCCGGGTCAGGCGTTAGTACGTGACGTTTTCAGTCAGCTTGGTTGTACTTTCAGGGTCAGCGTGAGCTGTGCAGATGCCGTCCCGCTGACGTAAGAGCGCGTAGAAAGCATCGCCGGTGGCTTGGGTGAGGAGATGTCGACACGTTCGCTGCCTCGTATCGGTTCTGGATGTAGAATGTCCCCAAAAACTCAGCCTGGGGGACAGCAGCTGAGTATTTACTGAGGGGTTTTTCATGTGTCTGCTCCCCTCTTTCCGTCCCGCCCATAAAGTTTGAAAATTGACTGAACACGGTCACAGCTGCTTTTGCTCTTCCCCCGTGTGTGTTGGAAGGGCTGGTGAAGGGACTTGGGTGCCTGTATCCAGATAAGGTGCTGGGAGCTTGCGCTTTGTGTGTCCCTGTAGGCTTGGCCTTAAGAATCACAGACTGTTTAAGTGTTGCATTTTAAACAGAAGATAGCAATAAAATTTCTTATCTCTGATATACAGAGAAAGCTTATTGCATCTACTGCCTGTTCTTCTTCATCAGATCAAAAGAATGATTTGAGCGAGGCTGTGGAAGAACTGAAATATCGCTGCTCTCTTAAAATTGCCTTGGATATTTTGACTCAAAATGGCTCGGCCGGACAAGTGCCACCTTCAGAAGAAGGACCAGTCGCTCCACTGTCCCGGGAGAGGAGCGCAGGATCTCTCTCATCTACCCCCCTGCGGAGATGTCGGTCGGTCTTTCGCTCTGAAGAAAAGCTGGAGCTTGAGACTTCCAAAAAAAAAAGAAAACAAAAAAATAATCCCAGCCTGAAGACTGGTAAAGAAAAACGAAAGCAGAAAGGGTCTGTCACGTTGGAGGAGAGCACTGCAGCGTGTGGGAGCGGAGCCAGCCCTGCCAAACGGGGCACTGGGGACCTGGGTAATGCATCAGGCTCAGACAAAATACCAAAAGTGAAATCACTACCAAGCCAGAAAAAAATCGAGCCCAAACTGGTGCCAAAGTCCAAACGAGGAAATAAAGCCTCCCTTAAGCCGAAGGGGGAGCAAAGTAAGCAAGGAAGGAAAAGACCAAGAGGTGCAGGATCACCCGTATCACATAGGAAAGGTTTCCCCAAGGGTCCAGCACAGCCCCTTCCCGGGGAAGGGTCTCCTCAGCCGGACCCCTGCAAGTCTGACGCCGGGTGGGGACCTGCAGCCAGAGGCCAACCTGGAAAGGCGTTCCTGGATTCCTCTGGTGGAAGTGCCGGAGGGGCAGAGCGTTTGAACCAGGTCGGTGGGCGGCAGGAGATCGGCACAACCGTGTCCTCGCGGAGCAAACGCAGCCGTGGGCCTGGCTCCTCCCCCGGGCGCTCCGACGCCGGGCGGCTTTCGGGCGGCTTCCCCTCGCCGGGCGAAGAGGAGGAGAACGGGACTGTTCCACGTGCGGCCGCGGATGAAGGACAGCCGTTTCAGCTGTCTGAGGAAGATGAAGGTGGGCATGTCACTTGGGGCAGGGGAAGCCTCGCCCCCGTTGGGTGGCCGAGCGCTGGAACGGTGCGTGGCTTCTGCGGAGGAGGGTCTGAAGTTGCTGGGTTTAATTTTGGTTTAAGTTTCGGAGAAGCGCGAGATGCGTCGCTTTAATCCTGGCTAAAAGCTGGCGTGGCGTTCGGGTGGCCTGGAGTGGTTCAGGGGGTTGCATGGGGCCACGTGGGGGTGATTCTTTTTGCTAGAGGACCTGCTCGTTTCCCACCTGGGTGTTCTTTGTCTCCTGCTGTGGTTTGTGCTGAGGTGAAATGCCGTTACGTGAAGGAACAGCCGGTGCAGCCGCCTGAAGCCAGCCTGTTCCTCCTTCCCCTTTTCCCACTTTTACCCCCATGATTCAGCCTTTGCCCAGGCAGAGCTGAGGGGGGTGGGGGGTGACAGACCCTTGTGTGGTGGCGACCGGCGCGGCTGTGGGCTCACCGGCCCGGCTGGTCCTGCTCGGACCCCTCACCCACGCGGCTGCTCTCTGCTGTTGGCAGGACGGGAATTGCCTGACCTGTCATCAGAGACGGTTCCCTCCCAGAATCTCCCTGGCCTCTCAGCCCTGGCAGATGACGAGGAGGAGGATGAAGAGCTTCCCAGTATTTTATCACTTCAAGGTGAGACGTGTGGCGTGCGCTTTTCGGGGGGGTTGTGCTCCCAGCTTGCTGCCAGGCCCTGGGGTGACCCCTGGCCGCTCCAGACAGCGAACCCAGCTCTGGTCAAGCTTGGAATAAAATGTGTTTCTTGGATGCTCTGGCGACAGAACGAAATGCAAATCGCTGTGGAAGTGCGGAAGGGCAGAAGCTTCCGAGTTCCCGCGTTCAGAACTCCCTGTGGCGTGTTTTGGGGGTGGGGGGTGCCCTGTCACTGTGGTGAAACCCGTGAAGGCGCTGAAGTGGCACTCCTGAGAGGGGGCCGGTGAGAGAGGGCGAGCTAACCGGCTTGGCTTGGCTTTTGTAAAGAAAAATGACTTTTATTTTTCGTCACAGAACCGCCACAAATTGAAGAAGGGATCTTGGTCTGGTGCAAGCTGCGGAAGTATCCTTACTGGCCAGCAGTGGTAAGACCAGCTCGCTGCTGCCTTAGCACGATGCTGCAGGGGGTCTGACAAGGAGCAGCTGCCCGAGCTGTCGAGTGTCTTCTGTGCTTCTCGACTGCTGCAGAGCTGGAGGTGTTAAAGATCTGCCAGCTGAAGCGTTCCAAAGAGACTAGAAGTAAAGTCACCTGTGACAAAAGTGTGTAAAAACTAAATGTGGTTCGTTCCCCCATGTTTCTGCTGGAGCAGAGGATTGCTGCTGAGCCTTTCTGTCTTGTGCCATCATGGGTTGCTGCTGAGCCTTTCTGTCTTAGCAGGGTTGTGCCCACCTAACAAAAGGAAGGGGGTGGGTCCCGGTGCGCTAACAAAACTGCTCCCTTGGGGTAACTTGCTCTTCGTGCCCCTTTAAACGGAATTTTTGGTATTTGTGTAACTTCCTTTCAGTGTGGGCTGTCGAATGTTCCTGCTGGTGAGGGTTTAGGCCTTTGGGCTGCTCGTGAGACTCTGTCCTTTCCCCAGGTGAAAACCGTGAAGCGGAAGCACAGGAAGGCCTGTGTGCTGTTAATAGAAGAGAACATGAATTACAAGAAAAAGGGGTAAATGTTGTGGCTTCTGATCAGGTTGTGAACCTTGGGGTTCTTCTGGGCGGTGTCCTGGGCTCTTTTCCTGGTACAGGGCGATTGCGCTGCCAGCCAGAGGTTGGTCTGGGAGGGAGGGACCGAGGGGAGGACTCGCAGGTGGGGGCGGCTGCTTTATCCTGCTGCCAGCGGAGAGAGGCTGGTGTTTGTGGGCTGATGCTCCCGTCAGGAATAACAAAGGGCTGGGGACCCAGCTGGTGTTCTGCACACGTGGTGCCCAGACTTCCTGGGAACACAGGCCTGCCTTTAGTTTTGCTTTAAAACCAGGTACTTCTCATTTGTTAGAAGATTCCGTAGTTTTAGCTCATTACAAAGACGAAAACGAGTAAAACCTGAATTCCTTATGAAATGGGATTTCCAGGGAGCTGTAGACTCGCAGTAAATAAGTAGAGGTGCAACTCAAGTGCCTCTCTTTGACTGTGCCTTTTTGTTTCATCAAGTTTCTCGGTGTCTCTTAAGAATCTGAAGCACTTTGATTGTGAAGAAAGGCAGGAGCTCATTGTGAGTACCACCAGTAACACGGAACCGGGAGCGTGTGTGTGTGTGTTGGGGGGAGGCGGCTCGTACACGTCCCTGGCCCCGCGGGAGGCGCGTGGTGCCGCTGGCCGGTCTGGCCTTGTTCAGGGTTCTCTGTTCCCCCTCGCTCTGTTCCACAAAGGAATTAAACGTCATTTGTGCTCCGCAAGATGGAGAGTAACACGGGAAGGGGGTGCCCTGACACCTTCCTCCGTCTCGGTGGGGCTGCTGCTACGAACACCTCTGTGTGTGGAAGCAGGCGGCTGCTCAGGGCGACTCCTGGGTTTCCCCTTGTGGGTTTTCTCCGCGCACCCAAGCTGCTCTCGCTGCCTGGCAGCGGTGGCAGCGGCTGACTTTGAGGAGAACGCAGAAAACTGCAAGTAAACCGTGACTCGTTACCCTGAGCTGCTCTACTGCCTGGTTAGTGTCCTGGGCCCAGCCCCTTCACCCGGCTGCTCCTTCTCCGGGGCCGTGAACGGCTCCTGTTTTGCAGGAACAAGCCAAAAAGGATTATCGCAAGGAAGTGGAGTGGTGCATCCGCTTGATCTCGGACTATCGCATTCGAGTCGGTAAGCAGATGAGTTGGGTGATGTCACCCATTCTGATAGACGTCAGAAAAAGATCACAGCAGAACGGTCAGCTCTGTTTCATCAGTTAACAGAACTGACAAATAACCTCGTTTTGGGCTTTTTAGGTTGTCGTTCTTTTACGGGATCCTTCCTGGAATATTTTGCTGCCGATATCAGTAAGTGAATTCGTGATCTTTTGCACTCTCCTCCTGGGAGGGGAGTTCAGCTCTGGTGTTTACACCCATGTGTGGAGTTTGGCCTCAGACCCGGTGAGGGGGAACCATTAAAATTACCGTGAATGTGCTCTAAGGTTTTTCAGTCCCACAGCAGAAGTTAAATATCGATTGTAAAGGCGATGGGGTAACTGGTTACCTCATGCTGTAGAGAGCTCACTTCAGAGCTCCTGTCAGAGTTTCAACTCGCTAATCTTCTTGGGTTTTTTTAAGGCAAAATTAAGATTTTGGTGGGTTTTCACCCTCTGTGGTAGGGGAGGAAGAGAAACTTCTCTTTTATCAAGACAGTCCCTGATTTTATAGTTGTATGTCTAAGTACGTGTGTGAGAAAAACCCTTGTTCTGTGTATCTCAGTACGAATGATTGTGGCTTTTCTTTCAGGCTACCCAGTTCGAAAGGAAAGTTATCAAAGTTTCACCCCAATGACCTTTCCAGTCGAGGCGGAGGAAGATGTTGAAGGGTCTTCATCAGAAACTTCCCCTCAGAAGCCCTCCAAGAAACTCCTTCCTGACAGAACGAGAGCCGCCAGAGACAGAGCGAACAAAAAGATAGTGGAGTTCATCGTGAAGGCCAAGGGGGCTGAGGAGCATCTTCTGGCCATTTTGAAAAGCAGGAAACAGTCCCGGTGGCTGAAGGAATTCCTGAACTCAAATCAGTGCGTGACCTGCATTGAAACGTACTTGGAGGACGAGGATCAGTTAGACCTTGTGGTGAACTACCTGAAGGACGTGTACTGCGAGATAGATGCCGAAAGCCTGCGGCAAATCGGTGGAGACGGGATAAAACTGATTTCGGACGTCCTTCTGCCTGAAGTAAGTAACCGTGGAGCCCTGGGAACAGTGGGTGTTTCGGTCGGTAACGCTGGGGTGAGGAGACTCGAGTGTCGTGGTGGCGGAGTGTCCCCCGGAGCTGGGCGGCTCCACTCGCTCCCGCCCCCCTGCCAGCCCGGGCCACGCTCCCTTCAGCTCCAGGGGCGCGGAGCTGAGCTGGTTCCCGCGTGTGTCCCGGGTGAAGGACGTTAAAATCGGTGCGGGAGGCTCTTGAGGCCTGTTTGTGGGCTGGTCGTCGGGGAACGACCCCGTTTGGGGGACGAGTTGGAGACAACAGAGCAGTGAAGCCCCGGCAGGTCGCTGCGGGCGGTGGGCTGGTGAGGTGCGAACCGGTGGCGTTCTGGGCGCCATTGTCCCAGAACGGGGGAGCTGTGGGTGGTGTGATGGTTTTGAAGGCAGAATGGCTCCTTTCTGTGCGTTTTGATTGCTTCTGAAGCTCTTCAAAGCTTTCATTTGGCAAGTTACCTCTGGGTTGTCTCGGGTTCTCTGTGCGGGTTGGGGGGTGGGTTGCCCCTTCTCACAGTTGTGCGTTTAGATACTTGCTGTTCTTCCTAGGAGCGTCCCTGGGAGAACATCAGTAACTTCTGTAGAAAGAAAATGGCTGTGAATGGTTTAATCTGGGTGTGAAAATACTCTCCTGGGAGTGATACAGGACAAGTGGTATTCCTTACCGAGGAACTTCACAATAAGCACTTTCGTCCAAGTTTCCTAAGGGATTGAGGAACCTTATTCTAGAAATGAGGCAGTTTTTCAGATCCTTGGTTGTAATTCCTCTGTGGTTTCGTGAGTGTAAGTTGCCTGCCTGCTTTCCTAGGCCATCATTTACGCCATTTCTGCTGTCGATGACATAGATTACAAGAAAGCGGAAGAGAAGTTCATAAAAGGACCATCCGTGAGCAAAAGGTATCTCTCTATTTTCAGTGCTCTCTGCGTGTTCCTCACTCGTTCGCTGTTCAGGGGGAAGCGTTGGGGCAGGAGAGTTCAGCTCCTCCCGCCTGCAGACGAGCTTCCCCCTCGTCCCGGTGACGGAGGGACCGAACGCGGGAACGTCCTCGCTGAGCGACGCTGCAGGCTGCTTCGTACGTTAAGGTTATTTTTACCGCAGGACTTCAATTTATTTCTTTTCAGGGAGAGAGAAATATTTGACGAAGAAATTCTAGAACGAAAGAAGCGGAAGGCTGAGCCTGCGCCGTCAGACAGCAGCTGAGCAGGGGTACAGGCTTTCCCACGTTACGCTGGCACTAACGTGCGTAATAAAGTGGTTTATGTGTATAAAATATGTAATTCTGCTTAAAAAATCTGTGTGTGTATAAAAGCTGTAGCTGCTGTCCCGCTGTCCCGCTGTCAGGTGCAGCCGTGGCGTCGGTCCTGGCGCCGCGCTCTGCCCCCGCTGCCGCGCTCGGCTGCCTGTGATGGCGCAGTCGGGGCGAAGCCGGCGGGCGCTCTGCGGAGCTGCTGCCTGAGAGGTTCCGCAGGAGTTGGTTTGGCCAAACGTCTGACCCAAGGAAAGGCTATTGCCCTCAAAGAGGTGTCCTGGTCGGTCCTGTAGCCGAGGGCTGGCTGGTGGCCTTGCGGCACTGAGCGCCTGCGGGTGGCTGGCGGAGCGCTCCCGGCGGGGCGGCCGTTCGTGCCTTACGGGTCTCAAAGTGCGGGGAATGAAATCGGTTCCTGGTGATGCAACCCGAGGAGCAAAGGCTTTGGTTTTGTTCATAGGAAGGCTAAAATTCCGTGGAAAAGGAATCCAGTGTTTGCTTGAGAGCCAAAACCCACCCGCTTTCCCACTTAAAAGTGGAACCACTTTAACGCTGGTTTCGCTGGGTGCTGATGCCGTGGTTTTAAGAGCTCTTCCAGTTCTCTGATTTAAATACCGGCTTTAATCAGGTGTGGTTCCTGCAGTTTAGCTTTTGCTACAGGTGTGGCCGTTGCAAACCACCTTTGGCAGACTCGGGGTGATACTGGGAACCAGTTAATGATAAAAGCCCAGTGACTGGTCTTTGTGTTATAATGAAAATGCGACCTGGCTGCTTGTCCAAAGTAAGAGATTGGAAATGAAGAAGTTTAAATGTAAACTGGCATTGCAGATGTGTGTTCTGGTGATCGGTCGTCATCTGAATGTGTTTTAGTTACTCTATGATGAGTTCCCGTGTGCATTTGGATTCCTTGTTCACGTTATTGAAGGGACATTCAATACCTGAATTGTAGGAAACTAACAGGTCCTTAACTGGATTGTTATTTATTTTCCATTAAATCCTGTGAGAAGGGATAACGCACTTTCTGTGATAGCATAGGAATTTCGTGACCAGGGCCTGGAGTTGGGAGCAGGTCGTTTCGGGACGCAGAAGCTTCCAGCCCACGAACCCGGGTGCCGCCTGTGGCCACGCAGAGATCGGCGGGTCCTCGGCCTTCCCCCCCCTCCAAAC